AGTTTTTCAGGCTGTCAAAGAGAAGATTAAACTTTGTTTAGCTTTGTCTGTTTCCTATTATTCCTTCAGATGGTTTCTCCAGTTTGTCCTTGCCTGGCTCGCTGAGAACGAGGAGGTATCCATGGAGTTTATGCATGGAGCGCTGGAGAGAGACAAGAGAGAAGGGGTGAGTCAGAGACTCGGGAGAAATTATTCTGTTTGCTGAAAGTTGTCACGTCATCGTGAGCAAAACAAAAGTGTCACAGACTCCTTTGAATCAGCAACAAGTTTATCGTCAGAGCTCTCTGTTAGAGTCTGAATGAAGACGTACGCAGGGAAGAGGAGGTAGTGCTCGGTCAAACACAGGATTTTAATCCAGAAGAGCTCATTTCATGTCATGTTTGAAGAAATCTTCGGGGTGGGGGTGGTGGAGTATCAGCAGGCTGGCTGTGATGGGCTGATCTGGCTAAAAAGCCCATTGATTATGTAAACATAAACCAGTGTTTTACCAGCATCATTTTTGACTTTTTGTTAAGTGGATGAATATTTTTTTAAAAACACAAACTGTTTAATAATCTGTGGATGCATAAAAAGCGAGACAAAAACGTCATCTTGCAGCTCTGATCCTGATCTTGCTTTTTTCCACGTCATTGTCGTGATGCTCATGGTCAAAAATCCGATGTGTGTGTGCTCTACTTTTATCAGTCTGGGCTGCAAAACCAACCGTATTCTTTTTGTTGCTGCTGTTTTTGAACAAAGGCTTACGTCAGAGCTTTTAGCCTTACACGGTTTCGTTGTGTCAAGCCTCACTGTCAGCCCCCGGTCCCTTAGAGATCTCCCACACTGTCCTTAGCTGAAAGTCAAAGCGCTGAGGCTTCGGGCACATTCGAGTATCTGGGCTGAGCACTGGCACAGCGTACACGTGGGTTCCAGCCTTTGTTCAGGTGTGCCTCTCGATAAACACATTTGGCACTCCTGTTTATTTGTGAGGAGCTGGTGGGAGGAGACGTTATTGCTAGTGAAGCCATGTGAACTGCTGATGTGCGGACATTATGAACGTCATGGCTTCGCTTTCTAAATAAAGGTATGCGTACGTCTCTGCGTGTAATAAAAAAGAGAGATTTTTAGTTATGCATTCCTTGTTTTTCTTGTCAGTTTCAACAACGTCTTATCCGAGCATCAAAAACTGTCCTCTTTGAAGAAAATGTATAATTTCACTCTATAAAGTTTCAGTGAACGTTTCTGTATTTCCTGTAAATTGAATCAGAATTGAATCATGGGAAACGGGAACGATTTGCTGGCTTCTCGCTTAGTGAAAATGAAATGTTATGTTTGTGATCTCGTCCATTATGAGCGCTATTACTTTACAAGGTTTGCCTAAATGTGATAAATTTATGTTTTCTTGCCATTTGGACACTGCTGAGGTCACAGTGCTTACATGGGGCAGAGGAGGGGATGTGAGATGCAAAGTGGAAGGTGACGCACATCCTAAAAATAAAAAAGCACAAATATAAATGACTCCAGAAGTTTCAGACATCCTGATAAAGGATCGCATGAAAGCTGCTAAAATGTGAGCATTTCTGTTGCAGGTTGTGCCTGTGATTTAAAATATATATTGTCAGGCTGTTGTTAAAATAAACCTACAAAACAGCACAAGCACATCTAATATCACATAACAGATACAACCTGATTGTGCTTGATGCGCCCAGCAGCTGAGAGCACAGAGGAAGAGTTGTTGATCATGTTGTTGTCATGGCACCAGAGTGCAACCGCAGTAGAAAAACGATGCAGTAAAAAGGAAAGCTTTCTGCAGTAATGACAGAATAAAAGACCGCTTCAGACTCGTGACCTTTTGTTCAATTTCTCCCTTTGGTTCCTTCTGCTTTTGGACAACTTTTCGTAGATTAGAAGAATGATGAGCAAGTGTTTGTCTGCCTCCTGTTGGTCCCCAAGCTGCACTCTGCCGTCCTATTTGTTGGTTTATTGTGCTAAGACAGCTATTGTGTGTCCTAAAGGAGGTTTGGCCCTTTTTGTGGCCTGAGCAGGTGGTTATTTTCAGTCATGCTCACACGGCTTGGCCTGCATGTGCATTTTCAAACATCGAAAGAGGACAACTTTAGCAAAGATTAAACGTTTAGATACGTTTTTCTCATTTTATCTTGACTCATAAAAATCATTAAGAAAGTGGTAAAAATGGAGCATAGAGGTTACATAGTTGCAGGTGGATGTGATGTTGGAGCTGAACCTTTTGTGGAGTATATAAGATGCAAAAGAGCAATACATCGAAAAGGGATGTAGGTTTAATATTAGTATTTGAAGAATACGGTACATCAAATGAAAGAAGGGGAGGACGTACGAGTCAGCAAGGAGGAACACGGCATAGGGAGACTGTTTGTTTGTTTATTTGTGTCAAAGTAAAAAAATGTCCTGTTGTTCCTCTGTCTGCAGTTTCAACAGACATCTGAGCATGCTCTGTTCTCCAGCTCGGTGGTGGACATCTTCACTCAGCTCAATCAGAGCTTTGAGATTATCAAGAAACTGGACTGCCCTGACCCCACGGTGGTGGCACATTATAACAGACGCTTTGCCAAGGTGAGCCCCGTGCCTTTGTAAGGAGCCCATTTTGTAACTTTGGTCTCTGCAACACTGAAAAACATCTCAGATCTGACAGCATCTTAGTTTTTTATTCATTTCTCTGTTTTCTGCTGGCTAAACGCGAACATATGCAGAGGCCATGTCTCACATTAGGAGCATATTAAAACATCCTTTTGCTTTCCAAGAACTACTGTTGATAGGTCAGGTTACTCTTTAAGAGAGCGCTTTACAAAAATACTCACTGGCTCTTACCTCTAGTGCAGGCGTATCACGCATGCAGCCAGTGAGGCCAGAATCATCCCCCCGATGGTTCTAATGAGGCCCAGTTTGAAAATGTGAAATCTGCAAAAGAAGAAAAGCAGAAAAGCTGAATTTTTGTCAGTTTATAAAACATCGAGCATGGCCTGTCATAACTGGATAATAAACTACTGACAGAAATGAAGTTTAAACAAGAGTAAACGTAATTTACTCTAAATTAACAGAATATTTCTGTTTAATTAAATCCAGATAATGAGCTAAAAGTGTTTTTTCTATAATTTTCCTCAGTAATTTCTCAAAGGGGAAGCCCTTCTAATAGGTTTCTGTACATTTCTGGAGTATTGCAGCAGCAGAGTCGGTTCACTTCAGGCACGCTTGCACTTGGGGAAATACGTAGAGATGATGACCACTAGCTCAGAGTGAAACCAGAATATTTGCTGCACTATTTGCACTTTAGTGTAATCTGATATAGCACAGACTTAGGAAGCTCACAGGTTCAACAGCGACTGTTCTCTCATGCTCAGAGATGCAGTGTGAAAAAACTTCATATTTGCTATATCCTTTTAAATATTTGAATTTCCCTGCACCTCACTGCTCATAACACACATTTTCTGTTTTGGATATTTGGACAAGTTAAAGTGGGATAGTGGGTCGCGTGGATTGATCAGTTAATCGAGAAGATCATCTGACTATTCAAAAGCATCAGCCTTTTTAGAAGACTGTTTCCTCCTTGTATAATCTAGTAAAATTGAATTGTTTCTGAGTGATTTCAAGACAGAAATATTAGCTGCTTTAGCTCCAGCCGTCCCCGATACATCATACAAAGGCAAGAGGTTGTATAAATGTAGACATGAGGAGGAAAATTGTATGCAGAAGGCTTTGAGATCAGAATTTTCTTGCACTTCATGTCTATATCTTTACTAGCATGTGACTCTGGTATGCAGTTGTTTGTTTGGACTAAGTTTTTCATGACTGTATCCATCAGTGGTGCAGAGGTGAGATTCTTTACCTGAAAGTTCCTGCTCGGTGCAGCTTTAGACCATGACTCCTACTGAGGTCTTTACTTGATCTTCTTTGTTCAGTCTCTTGAATCATTTCTAACTCACTAACGAGTTTCAGGTATTTCTCTGTAAAACATACAAACAGGGCATAAAGTGTAGGGTTATGTTTTTTCTTGAAATGTAATTTAAGGCAGGTCCTTTTAAGCAGAGCCGTTCAATCTAACAAACCTCTGCAGAGAAACTGTGTGTGCGCGCGTCTGGTGTTATGGCTCGATCGATGCGGGACTCATTAAATAAAGAAAGGCTAATGTAAGCCATCACTCTGAGCTGTCCATCTCTCTGTCCCCGACTCTTGACTCGCATTTCATTTTTTGCCACTCCGCTCATGTTAATCTCCTCCTGAGTCTTTTCATCTCTACCCATCCCATCAATCCTGGGGCTCTTGTCTTTTGTGTTCCTACTTTTCCGTCTATGTTTGCCTTTATTTCTTCTTCATCTCTTTGTCACCCTCCAGTTTCACATTGTTCTGCTTTCCTATGCAAGAAACAATAATTAGTTTGTTTTTAAAAGTGTGAGGAAAGAGAGATGGCTGCAGAACTTGAGTGATATAAAGCCGCACTAAGCAGTGCAGGCAGCTATCAAGCTGCATGTTTAATGCTATAGTTTGTAATCTTGCTGAGTCAGCAGAAAGTAAGGAAATCTCTCACAGTGAGCCCACGGTGCTGTGAGGCACAACTTACCACTGTGATGATGACAAATTAACTCTGTGATTTATTTAAAAGTGCCCTGTTGAGTTTTTATTGCAAGCAAACATGTCATTCTTTGTTTCCCATCAAAAAGCAACCAGTTTGCTGGCTGGACATTATAAATGTTTTCTTCACTTCTTCTAGAAATATTTTTTCAGCTTTTATTCATGCAGGGCGTCTTCATCGAGCACATTACAGAGTCCAGCTGTGTGCTGAAGAGTATAAAGCTCATGCAAATCTCATGTCTTTCCTTTGATTATTATGTGTTTTCTCATATAAAGGATGCGATAACAAAACAAGAAACATGCAGTGAGGCCAGTGATTGACAACTGCACACATTTTAAAAGTGCTTAAACAGAGGAAGAGTGCTTCTTTACGTCTCTGATTAATGAGCAGCGATTTTCTGCAAGATCTTCCAACAGCTGACGGCACTGTCTGCATCACACAATGTCACATGAACTCTGACACATTGTTTCATTTATATTTGCAAATTATATAATAAGATATTAATATTTGGTGTTCCTGTATCAATACAATATTGGCCTGCAAAATATCACAATGCAGTGCAGTGTGAGTGACTTTCCGGTGCTTGGGCAGAGCCTACTGGTGGCAGCTATTCTCAGGTGGGCTCATGAAAGACATCACACAGATGTAGTGTTATTATGAAGCGGGCGCCGTGAAGACTGTTTAACGGCTAATCACGCAAAATATGACATTTGGCTTCTCACTAGAAGCTTCTGCATTAGCTCAGATTTCCATGACTTACACATATCTGGTGTGACAACAGTTAAGTGTCATCAATGAGTAAAAGGTAAATGAGTCAAACACGATGAGGCATCTTCTTTATTGTCTTTAACATTAGGTTAGCTCGTGTTGTCCTGAAACTACACGCAGCTCTTTAAGGCAGACAGACTGACATTTTCAGTTAGCACAGTGCGAGTGTCTGATGCTACCTGAGTTCAAACAGCAGTGCTCTCAGCTCGCCAGACTAAAAGGCTAAACATCAGTGTTCAGCGTCACTCTTCACTCCAGAGGATCCCAGGGAAAGCATGTCTTATGTGAGTGTTATCTTGTTTCCACAGACGATCACCAAAGTGCTCCTGCAGTACTCTGCTCTGCTGGCCAAGAGCTTTCCCTCCTACTGTGAGAAGGAGAAGATAGTGAGTACTGCTGCGTCACCACTCTGCTACCACAACACCTCCCTCAGGGCTCATCTCTGATTTGGAGGGAGACACTTTGAAAGCTAGTAAACTCTCTTCGGAGTGGATTAATATTTCAGTGGTTGCTACTTACTCATCTAACTTCAGTCTTTAATCTTCCTGTCATCACCCTTTTATCTTGCTAATCTACTTTCATTTTATATTCTTGACTTTTCCTCTTTTTTAAAATTCATCATTTATGTTTGGTCTGCTTACAAACGCTGCCTCCCTGATTTATCTTCCTCCAGCCGTGCGTGCTGATGAACAACATCCAGCAGATGAGAGTCCTTTTGGAGAAGATGTTTGAGTCCATGGGAGCAAAACAGGTGAGCATTAACAGGTGTATGCACACGCACCAAACCCTAAAGTTTGTAAACCATCTGCCAGGCAGACACTGATTTCAGTCACTTAAAAGGTCAAAATGCTGATTTAAAGACTTTTCCATGAAGTACATGACTGAAAAATGCCAGAAAAAACACTTTTTTCTGTTCAGAAGTGTGAATGAGAAAAATGGTAAATGGATTTGGTTCTTCTATAGCGCTTTTCTGCTCTAGCTGAGCACTCAAAGCGCTTTATACAACATGCCTCATCCAAACAAACACTTTTTTCTATGCTTAAGTGTTTTCTCTCTAACATTCGCACCCTGATGGATGCATCACAGAGCAGCTTTGGGTTAGTATCTCGCCCGAGGATATTTGGCATGCAGAGTGGAGCGGCCAGGGATCACCAATGTTCCAATTAGTAGATGACCTGCTCTATCTCCTGAGCTACAACACCTGTGCAGAACAGAGTGTGTTACAAACGTAGGTTGACCGACAAAGGGGAACCTTCACTTTACAAACTTAAATTAGGTGCACACTGCAGTCGAATGTTGTCAGCATTCCAGTTCCAGTCATACTCTGCAGTGCGGCTCAAAAAGCACATAGGACGAAGGTTTAAAAATCTATCTGGTGGAGCACTGATGCACTGAAAGCTCTATGAGCCACAAAGGAATCCATTTTGTCTGTTGGTGTGTTGAAGTCCACTGCTGGACCTATTTGGGTCACCTCCCCGTCCTCCAGGTGTGACCTGATTTCTATAATGAACCCATTTGGTATGTATTTGGGTTCATCAGTCACCACGAGGAGAAGCAGCAGAGCCGAACCTTCTGTGGATGCAGGAATCTTTCCTTCTGCTGAGCCTGTGATTGTAGTTTCAAGGTGTAAAAAATACAAAGGTGCAAAAGCTGCAGCAAGTGTGAGCCTGCATGTATATAATCACAGATTTAAGAAAGCGAGAGTTAAGTGTGTGTCTTTTTTCCTGCAGTTAACAGCTGAGGAGGAGATGGTATGTCTCAGTGGGTTTTTGTTTTCGCTTTGCTTCCCTGTGGCTCCACCTCCACCCAAAACGATCTGTTGAGTACAGTAAAACCCACTCCACACCTCTTTCCTGTCATCAAACCTTTTTCCACCTTGCAGTGCGTGTGTGTCTGTTTTTAGATTGATCCCAATTTACTCATAAACAAGAGCTAGAGCTTCCTCTCCTTCTTCCTAGACTCCCAGTTTTCACTCCTCAAAATAAACTCCAGCTGATATAAATGATGTAGATGTGTGTTTTTAAAAAAACAAAACGTTCTCTTCGTGGTGTTTTTTTCTCTCGAAAGCTTGAGAATGAGGAGGAACCCGATGAGTGTGATGAGGAGGTGGGTCGACTTCTTTTTGACTGGTTTGATTTGTTTCTGTTCCCCTGTTGTGTCTGACTGCCGTCGTCGTCGTTGCCTTTTTCTGTGAAAGTCCAAATATTTGCTGTGACAATTATTTTTATTTTTTATTTTTTTGATGGGAACAACACAGTTTAAATCAATGGAGTTTATAGCTGTTGCTCATTTTTAACAGTTGATGGCTCTAGTCAGGCTTTTATATGAACAAATAATATACATAATAAACAAACACTTTAAATACACTTACATATTAAATAAAACGATAAATTAAATGCGAAACGTTAAGCCGGATGAACTATAGACAAGCAAAAAACCTTTTTCAAAAATCCCAAACTGACAGTTATAGTTCATTATCCATGTCCTTACTAAACCATAGCAGAGGATTATTTCCTGGTGAGATCGTTCCTTTGTGGGTTTGTCGTTTTCTTCTTTCATATATTTTATGCACTTTCTTTTTATTTCCTTATGATATTTGGACCAGGCTGCCTCTGACAACGAAGGCGGCGATGACATGGTGGGTAGGCCACAACAGCAGATAAAAAACACTCCTGAACTCTACTTTAGTCTGTTTTTATTATTATAAAATGTTACTTATGTTTTTAAATGACCGCATTTGTGTGGGTTTGATCCTTTTTGCTAACAGTCAGAGGAGACCAAGGTGAGATAAGGATTCTAGGTCACAGCCAATATTTCATATAGCTTCCTCAAATGTCCTTTTCTTTCTCTTCTTTGTCTCATTTGACCTCGTTTTCTTATGTTTCTATTTTAATTTGTCGATGGCAACGTCAGTCTGGCTGCTCAGACTCTGAGGGATCTGAGGTAAGGAGGAGAATATCACACTCTTCCTCAGCGCTGCGATGATATTAAAGTAGAAATCTGTGTGAGATAGAAACGGGAGATTTGACTGCTGTTAACAGAATCATCACATTCAGTTCTGACGAAGTAGACTCAATCGCTGAAACTGCAGTCGGCAGTTTGTTGTCATGCAGAATCAATGTGACGGGAGACAAAAACACAGTTTCAGAACAAGCTCGGGTGTAATATTTGAAAGGTGCGAACGCACAGACTGTATATAAAAGACGGAGTCGTCATCTGAAAAGCCTTTAAATTCCTAAAACTGCCGCTCTGTATATTGACCAGCAGGAGGCGACTCATCTCGATACAATGCAGATGTCACTTGATCTCTGACCCCAGTAAAGCCTTGATGATTTTAGTCTCTGTCAGTATTTCCTATATTACCATGTATACAGTCAAATACACTCACACCCATTTCATTAGGTACACTTTGCTAGTACTGGGTTGGACCCTGTTTGGCCTTCAGACCTGCTTCAGTGTTATCCAGATTCAACAAGGGGCTGAAAGCATTACTCACAGATGTTTGTCCTTAATGATCCATAATTTGGTCTCCGATTCCACCACAGCCCAAAGGTGCACTGATATCTGGTGACTGTGGAAGGCCATTCACAGAGAACTAATTTCACGTTCAAGTAACCAGTTTGAGATGATTTGAGCTTTGTGATGTGGTATGTTTCCCTGCTGGAAGCCACCACGGTGGACATGAACGCCCAAATTATGAGCTCACCATCCAAATGAGACACATCAGACCAACCAACACTATTCTTCTGTTGACCACTGTTGAGGAGTCCGTGTGTCCTGTAGCATCACTTTCCTGTTCTTAGCTGACAGGAGTGGACAGCGTGGTCTGCTGCTGCTGGTTCAACATGTGCCCCTATGCTCTTCTGTATACCTTGGTTGTAATGAGTGGCTGTTTGAGTTAGTGTTCAATTTCAGTCTGCTCAAACCAGTCTGGCTTTTCTCCTCTGACCTCAACAAGGCCTGTGTGCTGTCAACAACCATGCCACAGTCAGCTTTCTTTCAGACTTTGATGCTCAGTTTGAGCTTCAGCAGGTTGTCTTGACCATGCCTACATCCCTAAATGCACTGAGTTACTGCCATGTGATTGGCCGATCCGATACTTACCTTAACAGGTGTACCTAAAAATGCAACCAGTGAGTGCAGACAGTATAGCCAGCTGGTTTTAGGGCTCGCATGAGATTCAGTGTCCTCAGGATCTCAGATCCACTCCTAGTTTATCACTCTGACTACAAAATAAAATATTTTTTAAAAAACAACCAAAATCCTGAAAAGCGATTCTGGCAGCTCCATCTTTTATATACAGTCTTCTGTAGTTTTTAATCTGTCAGAAAATTGTGCTTCTTCCTAAATACTTGTGATAAATCCCTCTGCAGACATGATGCCAAAATATTCATTAAAGCCTTTGATACCACATGCTGGCAAAGCTCTTTACACATTTACAGCCGTGTCCTAATGCAGACTCCTTCCTCTCCCCTCCAGTGAGTACATAATAGACCAGACAGTGGGCTGCCAGATAATTGAATTTGATGGAGTATAAACATGTTGTATTTAGCCGCCACTAAATGGTTTGCTGAAATGACTTTGATAGTCAGCTCAGTGTGTGTTTTGTGTATGTGTCCATGTCTGAGGGAGCTGTTTTCTTTGTGGCACAGGGTAGCGTGTCAGAGGTGAGGGAAGGCTGGATAAAGTCTGTCTCGGCTGATATCTTCAGTGTCCCAACCTCAGTCAGCCTGCAGTGTGTCTGCAGGGCAGCATGCTGCATCATTATATTAAGATTTAGGTCGAGGATGTAAAAACAGCTCAAATCCAATGATGTTTATATTAGTTTTATGACTTTTTGATTCTTGGATCACCCAACCTTAAATTTTTATTAAAGGATTTCCTTCCTTATGAAAAAGGAACATTTTTCTGATAGCTCATACTCGTTATAATGATAAAACCTTCCTTTTCCTTTCCTATTCATCCTCTTCTGACTCCTCCTGCTCACTCTTAGGCTGACAACCGAGAGAAGGAGAAAAAGGTCAGTTTGTGCATAATGACCGTGTGTTTATGTTGGAAATCAGGCCTTTGTGTTTTATAAACTCCTTCACTCATCACTTTTTAGTTTGATTAGAAGTTACAATCAAAAAGTTCCACCTGTTAAAATCAAGTATCATTTGGCTACGATTCCCTGCAAATTTCCTCGTCTGCTGCTCCTGCTAGGTTTGTTTTTTTCATTGTGCCCCTGAGTTTCCTTTTCGACCACTTCCATGCGCATGTTTGTGTGGTGAGTCTCCGACACCGTAGCAAAGCAAAAGACTCTTCAATATGATTTTATTTTGGGGAAGAGAAAGAATATGTAGGGAACAAGATCTGACTAGTATGGCAGGTAGTGAGAGAACTCGACCAACCTTTTCAGTTTGCTGTAAGTGGTCACACGTTTGCATAGTACAGGTGTATTTACACTGACTGTTCTAACTCGGATACCTCAGGAGGTTATAGTAGACAGTTTGACCCCGTGTGACAAACAACATGGTGCACAGCCCCGTGGAAGTCATGTTTCTGGTCGCACGCTTCACCTGCTGCAAAGCCTTCAGGCTCTTATACTGAAAACTTCATTTTGGTCTCTGAGTTGTAGCTGGAGACCCGACTGACTTCTCACAACACAAATTCTGGGTTCATTTTAATTGAAATACATGTGAAATCACAGGCGCACTTGCAAGTGGTCAGAACAGGACTTCTGGGAAGTGATTCAAACTTAGGAGAGCTGAAAGCATTTCATAGAAGTGACACTGAAGGAGCTCTAATCATGGCCAAGTGTAACGTTTTGATAGTTTTATGTTAAAAGGTGGACAACCAAACTCCAAATGAGAGTCAGGGGAAAGTGTTTCAGAGCTTAAAGCCCTACGCAAGAAAATTCACCAACATCAGCCCAGGAAGAATAATCCAGTTTCCAATCCTTTAACTTTAGCTTTCCACCAGTGTCTGTATCCAACTCTTGATTCTAATTCAGGAAAATCAGTTGGATCTTAGTTTGTCTCCTAAAACAGTCTTGTCGCCTTTAGTGTTTTGCACTGATGTTCTTTAAGATATTGCCTGCAGCAGTTTAGATACAGATTTTGTGCAAAAACAATCAAATATTTATTCCAGCAAAATCACAAATGAAACTGGGTGTTAGATTGGCACAGAATTAAGTCATTAACAGATGTATGTCAATCACACCATAGATGCTCCCTCACCTCTGTGCCTGTTTCTCTGCATTAGTCTCTTGGTGACAATGCATTAAGTGCCTCTTTCCACCAGATGTCTATTTTTTTCCATCGAGCAGCACTAAAAAGATGCTGTGGGAAAAGCGCGGGGTGCTACACGACTCCTGCTATTAAAGCCGACAAGATTGAAAATCTGGAGTGGGAAGTGAAAACTTGAGATATTTTAAACCAGTACTAAAAATGAAAATGCAGAGCTCTCATGGGGCAACACGGCGTGCCTTCCCTTTTCAAAACAAGGCGACAGCACACTGAAATGTAAAAAACATTTGTTCAGCAATGATATACCATTAATTGTCATTTTCCCCGAGCTGGCGCTTCAATAGTTTTGTGGAGAGAGAGCAACTTTGTACTGGAAGTAGACGTTTTAGTTTGTGGCTGTGGTGTCTTTAAAGCAGCTGTTTACCCTCTGTGCTCCTGTAGGATGAGTCCTCGGCCTATGATGACAGTGAGGAGGAGCAGGAGAAGGTTTGGCTCCATGTCCAGTGTTTCCATAACTGACCTCTCCTCTCCTGCTGACAGACATCACTGACTCAAATCATTACACATGGTTAACTACTGCTGCAGTCACACTCGGGAAACTGCTGGACAACCAAAATGATTACAACTCGTGTTATAAACTCTTATTACCTCAGAAATTGTTGCTGTAACGATGGGGATCTGGTCTGAAACAGACAGTTTGTGCTCATCAGTGCAGACAGGCTGATTGCAATGTGCTGTCAGTCTGTCTGTGTTTATAAATCAGATGTTTTTAGTCACTGATTTGTTTCCCTAGTTTTTCTATAAGGGGGTTGCCATCCTGTTTTTACTCTTGTGTGACTGAACCATAAGCCTTCCAGTTAGTTTACCATTCCTGTGTGTAAGAGTTAATGTTTATGTCTGAGCGGATATACATATGATCCATGTATGTATACATACAAGTACGTCCTTGTGCACCATTCACTTTTTGTCTTCCCTGGCCTTTTTTGTTTTCTGTTGTTTTAATTTTAAATATATTTTTATTGCTTTTTGTTCTAAAGCTGGACAAAGAGAAGGTGAGCCATAACAAGAACCACACGACAGTTCAGTTTCTTTGTATTTCATTAACATTTGTCTTATTTGTCTTTTCTTTTGTTTTCACACCTCTCTAGTCTGAGTCCAAGAAGGAAAAGGTGTGTTTTCAACTAAACTGTGTTCATGTTTTTTGTTTTTTAAAGCACTTTGTCTTTGTGCTCATTTGTGATTGTGCAGCCTAAATTGTTATTGTATACAAAAAAAATAAGTTACAAAAGGCTTTAAAAAAAACCTGCCAAACAAGATATTTTGAGATATGAAGAGAAAAAACAGAGAACTGAAAGTAAAAACTTGACCTTCATTTAGAAACCTAAACACACACGTTAATGCTGCTTCAGAGCACATTTAGATAATGCTCTTTTGGCCGTGGCATTAAAATGATACAGTGCGTTAAAGGGTGTTACAGGTGCATAAATGCTAAAAACAGGTCATTGTAACCTGTGGCTAGATGGTTGCCAGGCAACCTGATGGCCTCATGATACACTATGCATAATTCAGTTTTTGTGTATATAATTTAAGTGTTACTGTAGTAAAATAAAAATGATGCAATGGTTAGTAAGGTATGATGGGTGCATAAATACTACATTTAGGTCATATTAGCCCACTGCTACACAGTTACTAGGCAACATGTTGACATCATAATATCTGCTATAGATAAGAACCTTCATGGGCCTAAAATGTACCAGCATGCCAAGTCACACACATATATACAAACGTATTTATCCACATTTATAAAGCCATTTTTATTCTTGACTCAGCTAAAGTAGCATTTCATGATTCAGAGCTCAACATAATTCTTATTTAACTTACTGTGACCTGTAGTGATGTTTACTCGGCTCCCTTTATGCCATCTTTCTAGCCACTCTCACTGACATCAGTTGGAAGCCTGGTCATTTGACCAGCACTTATACCTCCGTCGTTATATGAAAACTGTTCCAAACCTAACCAATTAGCTGTGATGCCAAAACTAACCAATGGAAGCATAAAAGTAAAACAAGTGAAAGACTAAAATAAAGTTACTGTTGACATTTAAACCTCAATCGTCTGAAAGAAATCCTGCAGCTTACAGAACCTCCATACCCTGTCCCTGATTAAATGGGTTTAGTTGTTCTTTCAAACTGGAAGCGCTGGTATGAGATCATTTTTTGCCTCCAAAAGAAAAGAAAAGAAAAATGTGTCCACAAACACGAATCAGTAGACAAACCTTTGTGACCATTACATGAACTGCTGTTAGACTGTAATATATGAATGGACTTAGTTTTAGTTGTTCCTCATCAGTAAGAAGTTTCTGGACAGTGCACAGGTCCCAGTACACACCAGTGGGGTCCAATTATGTGCCATGAAGGTCCAAGAGTCTGCAGGCTTCCCTTTCAACTCCTTCCACATTACCACACCTTCGAGCACAGAGGGAGCATGTAATTATTGAAATGATTTCATGTTTATGAGGAGAGACTGCAGACACTTCAGAGCTCTAGACTTTTAAGTGTGTTCAAATCTCAGGGGGCTAGCTATCTGTGTACACGGTGTTAATGATCCTAAAATGATCAAAGGGGTTGAAATTATGATAATGACAGGGTCTATCTGAAGGTAGCTGAAGGTTTTAATCCTGTGTGAGCTCATGCATAATACTGTGGAAACACCTTGTGCCTTTAAAATTTCGGGGCTCGTTTTAACTCTTCAGCTTAGAGGAGTCTGGACATAAAACTGTGAATTGGCAAAAGTCCAGCTGGGAGGGTTTTACCTGTAGGCAGCAATCAGCTTCATAAATATGTGAGTCTGCCTGGAGAAGTGAGAGCCTTACTGAGAAGATGAATCTAATAAAATGTAAAAACAAGTGTTTTTTGCAGGGTTAGTGTGTGAATTTAAGCATTAGCTCACTCACAAATGTGTATCCTTGCAGGCTGAAAAGACAGACAAAGAGAAGCAGGTTGGTTCGTTTGTAATATCACTCATCGCCCTTCATCTCCACTTTGTGCTATGTGAACATTTCAGATTTACATTACTGAAAATACTACAATTGAAGTTCAGATTTAAAAAATAATTCACTTAAAAAAAGAGAGATTAATGGTGTCGACTTTCTTTTCCTAATTTCTTTTCTCATCTTTGCCCAAAGGACGACTCCAAGAGCAAAGAGGTGGGTGTTTAAAACACAGCTTGTGTCTTTGGCTCAACCAGTGCAGTGAGTACAGGGATTTGTAAGACCTGGAAGTCTTCCAGGGCTTTATACTATTCAAAAAGAGTGGCAGTGCTGATGATTCTTTAGCCTGCTTTGTTTACATGGCATGGATGCTGGTTTTCCGGCCCACTTTGTACTTAACATCAGTCAGGATGACACGCCAGGCATGTTTGAGGCTACTGCTCACCCAGTTATTGGACCTAAAATTGAGGATAAATTGGTTAAAGTGCAGCTACCCAGCAGAAGAACAGCAGGAATCGAGCCATTAAACAAACAACAGAGAATCAACATCAAATCAACACGTTTGAACTCTAGCTCTGCCTCCTGGGTCTTTTTAAGCCTAATGAATATTCATTTAGCTAATTCAGAGAGCATTTTGAGTTGTCCTCAATTTAAAAGGACGTGTGTCAATATAAGGAACCACTTTCACAAATTCATATCTGGCTGATGTTTGTTTTTAATGGTTGGAAAGTCGGTCTGAGACAGCTGTAGCCTACATTAGCTGTTTATGCTGTACAAGTCCAGAACTGCA